ACCGTGACAGTATTAAAAATATACCACGTTTTTAACAATATAATATAAAATGTAAACTAATGCAACAATGTCTGTTACAAACGTGACAAGGATAAAAACTGAACACATTTTGTTACAACAGATAAGATGTTCAATTATATATAATAGTCTGGTACAACAGTGACAGTGATTAAAACTTTAACAGATTTTGTAACAACAGATACCATGTTCAATAATATATCGTTGTCTGGTACAATCGTGTCAATGATAAAAACTGTAACACATTTTGTAACAACACTTACAATTTTTAATAATCAAACTATGTCTGGTACAACCGTGACAACGATAAAAATGTAACACATTTTGTAACAACAGATACAATATATAACAATGTAACAATGTATGGTGGAACTGCAACAGTATTTACATTGTCTGCTGGTACAATCGTGTCAATGATAAAAACTGTAACACCAGATATAATATTTAATAATGCAAGTATGTCTGGTACAACCGTGGCAATAATAAAAATGTAACACGTTTTAAAAAATTAATACCCTGTTCAAGAATGTAACAATGTCTGGTATAACCGTGACAGTATTAAAATATGTAACACGTTTTTAAAAATATATAAAATGTAAACGAATGCAACAATGTCTGTAACAAACGTGACAAGGATAAAAACTGCACACATTTTGTTACAATATATAAGATGTTCAATAATATATAATTGTCTGGTACAACCGTTACAGTGATTAAAACTGTATAACAGATTTTGTAACAACAGATACCATGTTCAATAATATATCGTTGTCTGGTACAATCGTGTCAATGATAAAAACTGTAACACATTTTGTAACAACACTTACAATTTTTAATAATCAAACCATGTCTGGTACAAGCGTGACAACGATAAAAATGTAACACTTTTTGTAACAACAGATACAATATATAACAATGTAACAATGTATGATGGAACCGCAACAGTATTTACATTGTCTGCTGGTACAATCGTAAAAATGGTAAAAACTGTAACACATCTTGTAACAACAGATATAATATTTAATAATGCAAGTATGTCTGGTACAACCGTGGCAATAATAAAAATGTAACACTTTTAAAAATTAATACCCTGTTCAAGAATGTAACAATGTCTGTTACAAACGTGACAAGGATAAAAACTGAACACATTTTGTTACAACAGATAAGATGTTCAATAATATATCATTGTCTGGTACAACAGTGACAGTGATTAAAACTGTAACAGATTTTGTAACAACAGATACCATGTTCAATAATTTATCGTTGTCTGGTACAATCGTGTCAATGATAAAAACTGTAACACATTTTGTTACAACACTTACAATTTTTAATAATCAAACTATGTCTGGTACAACCGTGACAACGATAAAAATGTAACACATTTTGTAACAACAGATACAATATATAACAATGTAACAATGTATGGTGGAACCGCAACAGTATTTGCTTTGTCTGCTGGTACAATCGTGTCAATGATAAAAACTGTAACACATTTTGTAACAACATATATAATATTTAATAATGCAAGTATGTCTGGTACAACCGTGGCAATAATAAAAATGTAAGACGTTTTAAAAATTAATACCCTGTTCAAAAATGTAACAATATCTGGTACAACAGTGACAATATTAAAAATGTAACACTTTTAACAATATATAAAATGTAAACTAATGCAACAATGTCTGTTACAAACGTGACAAGGATAAAAACTGAACACATTTTGTTACAACAGATAAGATGTTCAATAATATATAATAGTCTGGTACAACAGTGACAGTGATTAAAACTTTAACAGATTTTGTAACAACAGATACCATGTTCAATAACTTATCGTTGTCTGGTACAATCGTGTCAATGATAAAAAATGTAACACATTTTGTAACAACACTTACAATTTTTAATAATTAAACTATGTATGGTAAAACCGTGACAACGATAAAAATGTAACACATTTTGTAACAACAGATACAATATATAACAATGTAACAATGTATGGTGGAACTGCAACAGTATTTACATTGTCTGCTGGTACAATCGTGTCAATGATAAAAACTATAACACATTTTGTAACAACAGATATAATATTTAATAATGCAAGTATGTCTGGTACAACCGTGGCAATAATAAAAATGTAACACGTTTTAAAAATTAATACCCTGTTCAAGAATGTAACAATGTCTGGTACAACTGTGACAGTATTAAAAATATACCACGTTTTTAACAATATAATATAAAATGTAAACGAATGCAACAATGTCTGTTACAAACGTGACAAGGATAAAAACTGAACACATTTTGTTACAACAGATAAGATGTTCAATAATATATCATTGTCTGGTACAACAGTGACAGTGATTAAAACTGTAACAACAGACACCATGTTCACTAATATATCATTGTCTGGTACGATCGTGCCAATGAAAAAAAATGTAACACATTTTGGAACAACACTTACAATTTTTAATAATCAAACTATGTCTGGTAGAACCGGGACAATATATAACAATATAACAATGGCTGGTACAACCGGGACAATATATAACAATGTAACAATGTCTGGTAGAACCGCGACAATATATAACAATGTAACAATGTCTGGTACAACCGTGACAATGTATAACAGTGTAACAATGTCTGGTACAACCGGGACAATGTATAACAGTGTAACAATGTCTGGTACAACCGGGACAATGTATAACAGTGTAACAATGTCTGGTACAACCGGGACAATGTATAACAGTGTAACAATGTCTGGTACAACCGGGACAATGTATAACAGTGTAACAATGTCTGGTAGAACCGGGACAATGTATAACAGTGTAACAATGTCTGGTACAACCGTGACAATGTATAACAGTGTAACAATGTCTGGTACAACCGGGACAATGTATAACAGTGTAACAATGTCTGGTACAACCGGGACAATGTATAACAGTGTAACAATGTCTGGTACAACCGGGACAATGTATAACAGTGTAACAATGTCTGGTACAACCGTGACAATGTATAACAGTGTAACAATGTCTGGTACAACCGGGACAATGTATAACAGTGTAACAATGTCTGGTACAACCGGGACAATGTATAACAGTGTAACAATGTCTGGTACAACCTTGACAATGTATAACAGTGTAATAATGTCTGGTACAACCGGGACAATGTATAACAGTGTAACAATGTCTGGTACAACCGGGACAATGTATAACAGTGTAACAATGTCTGGTACAACCGGGACAATGTATAACAGTGTAACAATGTCTGGTACAACCGTGACAATGTATAACAGTGTAACAATGTCTGGTACAACCGGGACAATGTATAACAGTGTAACAATGTCTGGTACAACCGTGACAATGTATAACAGTGTAACAATGTCTGGTACAATCGTGACAATGTATAACAGTGTAACAATGTCTGGTACAATCGGGACAATGTATAACAGTGTAACAATGTCTGGTACAACCGGGACAATGTATAACAGTGTAACAATGTCTGGTACAACCGTGACAATGTATAACAGTGTAACAATGTCTGGTAGAACCAGGACAATATATAACAGTGTAACAATGTCTGGTACAACCGGGACAATGTATAACAGTGTAACAATGTCTGGTACAACCGTGACAATGTATAACAGTGTAACAATGTCTGGTACAACCGGGACAATGTATAACAGTGTAACAATGTCTGGTACAACCGGGACAATGTATAACAGTGTAACAATGTCTGGTACAACCGTGACAATGTATAACAGTGTAACAATGTCTGGTACAACCGGGACAATGTATAACAGTGTAACAATGTCTGGTACAACCGGGACAATGTATAACAGTGTAACAATGTCTGGTACAACCGTGACAATGTATAACAGTGTAACAATGTCTGGTACAACCGGGACAATGTATAACAGTGTAACAATGTCTGGTACAACCGGGACAATGTATAACAGTGTAACAATGTCTGGTACAACCGTGACAATGTATAACAGTGTAACGATGTCTGGTACAACCGGGACAATGTTATTTATGTAAAAATATAACATGCCACGGTTGCGCCAGATTCCTGCAGGTTTCGCTAATATTGCCACGGTTGTACCAGAAAGAAACCTGCATTTGATTGTATATGAAAATAACCATTTACATGTTACTAATAATCTGCATCTGGTTCAGTTTTTGTGGGTCCTAAAGTGCATGTGTTATTTTAGATGTAGTTCTTGTCATTTCCAATTCAATTACATATTCAGTGCTGTCAACTCCCGAAGATTTTCTTGCGGGACATATTTTTATACCAAATTTGCGAATTCGCTTGACATTCACCAAAATTTGCTGGATTTCGAGGGACATTTTACTAAAGTTGTGGTAGTAGAAGTCAGACCTATCATATATTTATAAGTAGAAATGTGGTACGAATGAGACGGTTACCCCTGGGGGGTTCACTCTGTATGAATTGGGTAGGTATGTGCAGCACGACCAATTTTGGCTTTGGGCATAAACCATGGAAACTGGCCAATCTGAGAGGAAAAAACATTGAAAAATTATTATTATTCAAGGGAGAATGGGTGGAAGAAAGATTCGTACACTGTATAATTTTGATTCAGTTGAAACAGAAGTACATTTTCTATTCCATCGCAATAAATATAATAATGATCTAAGATCAGATTTGGATAATGAAGGTAGCAAAATTGAATTTCTTTTTCTTGAACATACCTGTAAGATTGTTAAAATTAAAATGGCTTTCGTTGGGAGAAGGCAATTCATTTATAACATGTGATTTAATTTCCATGTATTATTATTTTGTATTTGTATCATATATTGTAACAGTGGTTAATAAGCCCAAGGTGGGCTAGGTAAAACTGTTATTAATGTTTCATATTTTCACCCTAAATAAATAAATAATCTAAATGTAGAGGAAGAACTGGAAAGAGTTAATAGCCAGAATGTGGATGTTTGTTGTGAGAAAGATCAAACTTATATATTTTTTCCAGGCTTTCCCCCCACTAAAGAATGATTTGATTCTCCGTGCTGCAAAGGGAGAACATGTTGAAAAGGTCCCTGTATGGGCCATGAGACAGGCTGGCAGATACATGAAAGGTACAAAAGATGACATGAGTCCCCTTGCATCCCCAACTTATAAACTATGTTAAAAATGAAAAAGCCTCCTTACCAATGTGACATCTACCTTTATTTTCTTTTTTTCCAGCACAAGTTTTTCTACTTTAATATAATATTATGTATATTGTGTATAATGTAAATGAAATAAATGGGCTATAAAAGCCGAAAAAAGGTACAAAAGATTTTTACCCATATAGCAAAATTATTCAATTGTTTGATGAGGATGCATCACATTTAGAGAAAAGAACATCAAGAGTGCCTTTTTAAAATTCATAAATAAAAATCGAAGCATCTCAAAAGTTAAGAAAATGGTTTTAGTGCTTAAAAAGTGATTATTTACTACATTCTTCAGCGAAGATCATCTTCGAGCATTACAAGAAAAAATTGTTTTATGTAGACTAATCTGAATAGTTCTTTTGTGATTCAGTTATTGAAAATAAGTGCATGCTGTGTAAATATCAATAACATTTTTTTTTATAAATATAATTTGCAACATTTGTGCTTGGTAAACAATACCATGTTTTAACAGAACTCAAGATATTACTTTATTTAACAGCAGATGATAGTGTAAAAGTAATAATTATATTGATTTTTATTTCACAGAATTTCAAGAAGTTCGTGCTAAGCATGAATTCTTTGATGTTTGTCGAACTCCAGAGTTAGCCTGTGAGGTCACAATGCAGGTGTGTTACGAATTCAGTTTTTCTAAGAACTTTTTCGGAATAAGTTAAAAAAGTTAAGAAATAGGTTTTGTTTTCGCTTGGAAAAGGAGTATATTTCCACGAAATCCATAATGTTTTCACTGTTCTTTCTTCACCATTGATGAAAATTACTTTTTCTTTTTTCTTTTAGCCAATCCGTGCCTTCGATCTGGATGCATCTATTATATTCTCTGACATTCTTGTTGTACCTCAGGCCCTCGGAATGGGAGTGCAGATGGTACCAGGAAAGGTATGGGATTAAAAGGATAATCATTTTTATGTGGTCTGTATCATGTGCCTCTTTCTCTGGAAAGTTGAGTTAAGATGAGTTTGGCATATGGTAAAGTGATCCCTTGAAGGACAACATTTATTATTGTATGAGCTTGACAGTGATATTTAAGTCAACCACATGTAAATAAACCAACTTAATTTGCAAACTTTTTCTTAATGTGTTTTAAAGGATTGCCCACCAGCCAACTCATAGTATGTTTATCCCATCGAACGAAGTTCGGAGGGATATAGGGAACGCCTCCGTCCGTCCGTCTGTACGTCCGTACGTCCGTCCGTCTGTCCGTCCGTCTGGGCAATAACTCAAATACCGTTAGCCCGATTTTGTTCATATTTTGTACACATATACCCTATGGGGGAAGAAGTTCTGCTCGAAAGCTGATTTTCAAAATGGCCGCTCATTTAAAAATGGCAGCCATTTTAGTGCCGATTTTACAGTAATTTAGGTGCAATATGTAAAACTGTTATAGGAATATGTTTTAAATGTAAAAAAATTACATAGGACATTAATAAAGCTAGAAATGTAGATATTAAAGAAGCGCATGGCAGCCATCTTGAAAAATGGCGGCCTTTACTCGTTATTTTACGATTTTTGCTGTTACTCGAAAAGTAGTGGAGCGATTTTGTTCATATTTGGTATGTGAATACTATAAGCATGGCACACTGTCTAATAATACTTTTGGTAGAAGGCGGCCGTTTTGAAAAATGGCCGCCATTTTGAAAAATGGCCTCCATTTTAACGTATTTTACTATAATTCGAAAAGTAGTGGAGCGATTTTGTTCATATTTGGTATGTGAATTCTATAAGCATAGCACACTGTCTAGTTACACTTTTGGTAGAAGGCGGCCATTTTGAAAAATGGCCGCCATTTTAACGTTTTTTACTATAACTCGAAAAGTAGTGAAGTGATTTTGTTCATATTTGGTATGTGAATACTATAAGCATATCACACTGTCTAATGACACTGTCTATGGTAGAAGGTGGCCATTTTGAAAAATGGCTGCCATTTGTGCTATATACTTTGTTTGTAAATATGCCAGCCATGGCTGTTCGATGGGATTCGCTACGCTTTGGCGTTGCCGTTGTTCTGGTTATAATAGGGATCCCATGCGACATTGAATTATGGAAATACAGTAATCAGATCAGACCAATCTATTTTGCATTAAGAATATGTCAGCCATCTTGTTTTATAAATTGATAATTGGTCAATATTAGAATAATACATTTATTATCATGAAAAAGTATCATTTGTATCAAATTCTTAGTGTTCTCCATGGGATGTTTTCACATAAGTTGATGCCGAATTCTTTTCATAATTTCTGTCAAAGGTATAGGAGTCAAAATATCTTGTTTTTCAAAATTTTTTATTTTGGTATGCAAATGGGTTTTCAGAGGGGTGCAAACCCATCTTCAAGATCTTAATAATCTGTACCTGTGCCACCCACTTGCTTTGAATGCTTGAAAAATTACTGATCTGTGTTCAGTAACAAAGTTGATAAATCTCGAAACAAAAATCTATTCCAGGGGCCTACGTTTGATGAACCTCTGGTAGAACCTGATGACCTTAAGAAGCTTAAAGTTGATGTTAATGTCCACGAGGAGCTTGGATATGTGTATGAGGCAATCACTCTCACCAGACATACACTTGATGGCAAGGTTCCTCTTATAGGCTTCAGCGGTGCTCCGGTAAGTTTCAAGTAAACATAAGATGTTTTTTACTGTTTTGATAGTGATTAGCGCTCAAATGCAGATTTATCGGCTTTTAATAAAATTTCCTAGCATTATTCCTTAAACAAACATAGAATGCAGACTGGGAGATGTTTAGAAAATCCGGATTTGGATTAAAGATTTGAATAGCTGTTGTTGTAATGGACCCTGATGATTTAAATGATCAAGGGTAGTAATATAAGACATTAATAATTTGAATATTTTATTGTAGTGGACCCTGATGTCTTACATGATTGAGGGTGGAGGCTCAACAACCCAATCAAAGGCCAAAAAGTGGCTGTATGCCTACCCCGAGGCTAGCCACCAATTGTTGCAGATTCTAACTGATGTAATTGTTGAGTATCTGGTTGGACAAGTAAAAGCAGGGGCTCAGGTAGATATGAGGGCTATTCAATATGTTTCACTTTCACTTGATATTTTCATTGCACAATAGACATCCATATAAACCTGGACTATTTACATATACAAGGTAACCTTCCAAATGGGCCTAAATTATTACAAATTTCTACCATACTATAAATGGCACCCATATCATTTTTCAGCCTTATTTCCAATTCAGTGTGAGAAATTAACATTAAAAATGGTACTTTACAAGTACATTCAAGTACATTTCTTCTGCTCCATCATTATGACTATTCACAGAGATCCAGAACTTCTCACCTTGCATGTGATTTTCACACATTCAGAGCTATTCAGATTACACATTTCTTTCACAATCAACATTCTATTGTCTTATAATTACAGCTGTTGCAGCTGTTTGAGTCCCACGGTGGAATCCTTGGAATGGGAATGTTTTCCAAGTTTGCACTTCCATACATCAGGCAGATATCTTCCAGAGTCAAGGAGACTTTGGTCTCAAAGAATCTGAAGCCAGTCCCCATGGTAAGTTCCTCAAATGCACAGAGTATAACAATACATTTCCTATGTCATAAACATTATAATATCCTTTAGATAGAGTTGAGTCTCAAAGAATCTGAAGCCAGTTCTATGGTAAGTTCCTCCATTACACATACATAAACATATTGGAGAGAATGTCATCGATTTGGATGCTACTTCATCTATTAGACAACCACTTCTTTTTTCCAGATCATATTCTCTAAGGATTCCCATTATGCACTAGAGGAACTAGCTCAGAGTAACTATGAGGTCGTCCAACTAGATTGGACCATTAAGCCTCAGAATGCAAGACGACAAGTTGGCCCCAATATTACACTTCAAGGCAATCTAGACCCATGTGCTCTGTATTCAACACCGGTATGTACCTCAGGCCAGGATAACAATTTTATTTCCAATATATTAGCAAGTGCAAGTATTTACGATAGGATTTGTTTTTATACAGCATGTGCATTGTTTTGGGTGGGAGAAAATAGTAGTATGGTTTTTTTCTGATGATTTATCCTATTCCTTACAATTGGGTAAGATTTACCCAAAGTAAGATTTTTTCCTATTTAAATAGCTATTAATGTTATAAATGATATGTTCACAATAATATGGTATAATGTTTCAAGTTGTAGAGATGGCTCAACATAGTTTGAAAAATTGATGTTTTTGCTCAAGTTTTATGTTTGGATGTTTTACTTTGCAGGAGGAAATCAAGAAGTTAACCAAGGAAATGTTGAAGAAATTTGGCACTCAACGATATATTGCTAATCTAGGTCATGGTATGTACCCAGACTTTGATCGTGAACATCTTAAAGCATTTGTAGATGCCGTGCACAGTGAGTCTATGGAAATGATTAATGGTGATGAATAAGGATGATCAGTGATGATGAATAAGGATGATCAGTGATGATGAATAAGGATGATTAATGATGACAAAGGATGATCAGTGATGAATAAGGATGTTCAAAGAATGAAGATGGAAAAGGATGTTCAATGATGATGATGAATATGTGTGATTAATGGTGATGAAGAAGAAAGTGCTGTAATTGTATGGTTAAATAGCGATAAGGATCAAAATGATGATATCCATCAAAAAAGAACATCCATTGGCTGATCGGATAATTTAGAAATCATTTCAGTACTATACATGTAAATGATCTGAAGATATACTATAAAAGTAACAAAAGATAATTTGAATATTGAATCATCATGCTCTTTCCATGACACTTCACAGTTATCTCTCCAGCATTAAAACAAGCGGGCGCAAAACACAAGCCTGAGATTTTGAAAACAGGCTTGAACCCACCTGAAAATCGATTTGTACCCACTCAAAATGAGAAAATAGACATATTTGGACCAATTTTGGTCTTTATTGTGAAAATGAAAATTTTGCACCCACTTGAGAAAAAAACCTGTGGAGAACATTGCTACATTTTGAAGCCTCTTCCTTTCATTTGAGGTTTTACCTTCATATAAACTCATAACCTCATACATGGTTTACAAATCTTTATTTGATTGCTGCAGAATAGGAAGAGACTGTCTGTAAACCAATCAGATTACATTTAGAAATCAGTAAACTCTTCATAAAACAAGATTGTCTGAATGCACAATTCACTTCTGTTTCGATATATCTACACAATATATCTTCACATTACAAAGCTATGTGCCTGTGTCAACTCCATAGGTATTTATGCCACCACTTCCAGGTTATGCTTTGAAGATGCATTTGTGTTTTTATTGTTTTGAGTATCTCAGCATTAAAAATGTTTGTTCCATTCCAAATGGTCAGGTGTATATCTTTTTTTTAAATTCTTCTGTATTGTATTATAGGCATAATATGTTTTGTACATTTGAATTCAAAATTCAACAGGTATTAGTAGTTGCCTTTCAGTTTGTATGTAGTACTTGTCTTAAAGTAATGTATTTTGGATTATTTAGTTAAGTAAAACTGAGAAAAACAGTTGTATGTTTAAGTTGTCACATGTTTGAAACTGGATCTTGTCTCTTTTTAAAAGAACACTGCCAGATTCACAGTGTTGTTCCGGAACAACCTACCTACTGGTATTTTAGTAACTATATAGGGCTCAGTGATTCTTGTGTCCTCTAAATGCCAGGCTCTAAGACACAGCATTTGTAATTGTAAGTCTGGAGCCCTGTATTGAAGATACTCAATTCGGTTAATCCCTTGCAATAATCTTGATTCAAAATAAAATCATTATCAGTAGGTTGTGTAAAACTTGTAAATGTAAACACTTTTCTTTTTTCAAACCAACTTGTCTTTTGTGTGTTAACAAACAGTGAGTTTTACTGTTATCCAATAGGGGGCTCTGAGGTTTTGAGGGTAAAGGACTGTCTAAATCACAACTAGTCTACTGTTCAATGAATATTTGAATTTCAGATTTTCATAAAAAAAATTGAAGTGAAACTCCAAGTATATGCAGGTGGGAGTATAGTACAAATGAAATTAAATGTATCAGGGTAATTTGAAAAAGGCAATTGTACATGTCCTGTATTGTTTCAACTAAATCAATACATGACTGTGATTGGGTGTTTTTGATATGTTGCCCATGTTTTTTTATATACATGCAAGATATAAAATGTAAAATTAGGGTCAAATGAGATCCTTTAACAACTTTTTACTTTTACAAGATATTAGTTTTTGATCACTGGAAAGTAATTCTTTTTCTATTGTCAAAGAAATATTTTAAGATTATCAAAACTGAACAATCATCTCTGCTACTTAGTCAATAAAATATACATTGATGTTACATTATGGATGTTGCTACGGCAACATTTTGTCTAATTAGTAATTAGTCACTAAGACATGTTGCCAAATCAATCATGATAAGGAGACAGTCACAGTATGAAAGTAAAACAAGTACCTTGGGGCAGGAAATCCTTGCAAATTGTTAAATATGTGCAAATATTATATAGATTCTTTAACAGTTGTAGATAATTTTATGAATTGTTGATTTAGATATTTAGAAAATTATTATATTAATCATGTAAACCAGATTGATAGCTTAAGACGTGACTATGCAACTGCCAACGATTTCTGAAAAAGTTCTGAAAAGCTAGTTAGTCACGAGCAAATATATCCAGCAGATCCAAATGGGATTTTATAATCGAGTGAGAATTCCTCACTATAGCAATCAGGGAATTACCTGATGAAATTCATATCATCTTGGTTACATTGTGTAATCGCCTATTAAATAAAGCAAGTTTGATAAAGTGAGGGGTTTCTCACTCGATTATTTGAGCCCTTGGATGTATATAGTCATGACTGATTCGCTTTTCAGTAACTGGATGTTACTATCAACATACAGGTAAAATATTTGGATACAAATTGACTTCCTTCTTGGTGAAAATGATGAAAATGAAAATTTCCCTGAGTAAAAGTTCATCCATTTCGTTTTAAAGATGTAATGTCTTTATAACCAGATGAGGACCAGTGGTCTATCTCAAATTAGTCAATTTTCACTTCAAAACATAAGTCAAAATTATATAACAGATCATTATCTTCCTATATAAATGCTGAAAATATCACCTGGTCTACCTGATGAGCGTGTATGCCTCTCCTAGGTGCATTACACAGTCATCGATGTTCACCAAGTCATCTTTTGCATAATTCTTCCTATGCTATGAACAATGGTAAAGAATTGCTCAAAGCGATTTAAGTCCTTAAAATTCATTTGCAGCTTTTGCAGGGTCATTTGACTCACTTTACACTGTGAATGATTATTGTAGTAGTGTCATGTTTACATTACTTTAATTACTTTACACAATTTTGTTATTATCCCATCGAACGAAGTTCGGAGGGATATAGGGAACGCCTCCGTCCGTCCCAGCAATATCTCAAATACCGTTGGCCCGATTATGTTCATATTTTGTGCACATATACCCTATGGGGGAAAGCCAATTTTCAAAATGGCCACTCATTTAAAAATTGCGGCCATTTTAGTGCCGATTTTACAGTAATTTGGTACAATATGTAAAACTGTAATAGCAATATGTTTTAAATGCAAAAAATTATATAGGATATCAATAAAGCTAGAAATGTAGATATTAAAGAAGCATGTGGCATCTATCTTGAAAAATGGCGTCCTTTACTCGCTATTTTACAAATTTTGCTGTAACTCGAAAAGTAGCAGTGGGTAGTGGAGCAATTTTGTTCATATTTGGTATGTGAATACTATATGCATGGCACACTGCCTAATGACACTTTTGGTAGATATTGGCCTTTTCAAAAAATGGCTGCCATTTTTGCTATATACTTTGTAAAAATGCCAGCTATGGCTGTTCGATGGGATTTGCTACGCTTTGGCGTTGCTGTTAAAGTTGTGTTGATGGCATCAATATGTGCCCTGCGAAACAGTACAGTTAAGTGCAAAACCCCAGGAAAACATGGTCAAATTAAAGGCATGGATTAACTCATCCTGAGGTATTTTGTGAGATTGTGCATTATGCTGAATGTATTTATTCAAACCAACAAACAGATTTAAACATTGATAATTGTTTTGTAACAAATAATATTTTTATTTTTTTAACATGAAACAATATACATGTATACATTGATGTATCAAAAGGAAATTATGATCAAAGATATTGTTAACAAAAATAAAATAAAAAAAAGTTAATTGAACATATTTTTTCTATTGTCTCTGGTAGTTATGTACATATATGAGTTAAGCTATTACAAACCATTAAGAAACACATATGGATGATATATAGTGAGTGGGGGGAAATAATGTGGCCTCAATTCTCATTGACCAACATTAATATGAAATAGACTTTCCAATAAATACTGACCCCTGAAGCAGGGGAACTAAAGGTGGATTTTGATCATTACATGATTGGCAAGATTTTGATTACTAGTATCTCACATTGCAGCCAGCAATAATAGCAAAAAAATTGAACAGTTATTGAAAATTAGCAATATTTCTGCCATGAAATTGACATCAAAAACTTGATTTACAAGAATTCACTAATGAATGCATATCATAAAATCAATTTCCATTTTTGAAGATGAAAAAAGTTCAAACTTGACAAGGAGATTCTGATCCAAAAACATGACATTGGCTAATACAGGGTCTAAATGAGATTTGGATATTAAGGATTCACTACAGTATTTATTACTTCTATTTTGACTACATTTCTTGGGGATGAATCTTATCGAACAAAGATTAAAAAATGTTGAAAACACAATGGAATGCAACATTTGGATCCATCTGGCTGAGTGATTGATTTAATCCCAAGATTGTGACATCACTCAGCAGTCAGAGAATATATGTTTTAACTCGCCTAAATGTATTATGATAACTCCATGTAAATAATATAATATGTACATGCATATATCCTACAGGCACTGACACAGTATCATTCACCATATGCAAAGCGATATTGTACCTAACCACAAGGAACTTGACAAGGAATTTATCAATTACAGCATCTGAATCTGAAGGCTCATTCAACTACACGCAAATTAATTCCGATGATATAATTGGAAGTTACTCACACATTTATATACATTAGAACAAAATTAGTAAACAGTTAAACACACTGCAGTTGTTAATCAGTCATCATATCATGTTTCTCAAATGATTATTATTAATTCACATCCTTCTAGCAATCCTTTTCAAATGTTTCATTTAAAAAAAAATTAATATGATTCTTAAATGAATAACTAAGACATAATGAAAAATCCTTTTGATAAACTTTGATATTTGACACAAAATTGAGCAAGCAATATTATATTTATAAGTGCAGCACCATTCCATTGTATATATAGTTCCCTTAACATTTATATTAGTTACATGAATAAATAATTGAGCAAAATGTAACATAGACAGCATTATATTGTCTGTGCAATTAAAAATCATATAGCTGTGCAAATGAGAGCCTCAAAGTCTGTTCCTTAATTAAATTGAATGATGAAATTTGTCCTGAGGTTCCAATATATCATTTGAAAGATGATAAATCTGTATTTAAAAAGTATTCATTTGAAATTGTCATTTAAAAATATATATTTTAGTTTAAAAAATTCACACTCGATTTTTAATTAGTATTACTCAGTTTTGTGTTTCATTGTACATTAATGAGGTTGAAAGATACTTAAAGTGTGATCCAGGGAAAATTTATCTTTCTCAGCAAAATCTTTTTCCCGTGTAAAAATTTTGGACTAAAAATTGCCCCCTGTTCATGAATGGACTATTAATTTCAATAAACTTTAACCAATGGAAATAGCAGACATCTGTAATGTTATTCTCCTTTTCCCAATACTTTCCCTTTCATATGGTATATTAAAATCCTGAGACAAATAGCATCATTCTTTTGATCCCTCATTTGCTCAATTAATTACCTTTTAAATGTCTATCACTCTACATTTAACATGTATAGTATTAATCAAGGCTAACATTGCTTGATGATTTCGCAACAATATTTTCTACACCTCTCTTTGGTATACCAGAGTGTACCTTTGGGGGTTTGATTCGAGAGGGGGTGGGTATGGATTTAGCAGTTGGAAGCATTGATCTTGGAGTCTTCCTAGTAGGGCTAACTTTACCTTCACCATGAGCTGAATTCACCTCAGGGATCCTTTGAGTATTTATTGTTAGACTTGGCAGAGCATCACTAGTATTGTCTTCGTTAGATGGGTCAGTTTTGTTACCACTGTCAGACAGAGATTCACCAGATTGTTCAAACTCAATTTTTTCATCATTGACTTCACAATCAGAAATATCCACCAAAATATCAGCAGATTCTTTAGTTATATCTTCAAAGCTATCATCCGATTCTGCATGCTTTGTATCAACAGTTTCCTCAGATCTTTTTCGCCTTGATATCACACATTGGTCTGAACTATCGGCTTGTTGTTCCTGAATCGGCGGACTTTCATTTTTCTTACATGCAGTTGCAGGTAATGTACTTAAAATGTTTGATTTTTGATTTTTCTTCACTTTTCGGTTCTGCATATTCTTGCTATATTCCAAAGCATGTGGCTCAGAAGGGCCGCAGTTGTCAATGGCCATTTGTGACTTGCTGTCTGCAAATGTGACTGAAGGATTCTGGGATTGCTGCAGCAGAGCAAGTGTTTTCTGTACTTCCATCAACTGAAAAAGAAAAAAATTAATGTAAAATCTTTCACTGTATAATAATTTCAGCCTAGCACTTTATGTGATTAGCAGTGCAACAACTCAAACAAATAGCTTCTTCACAGTTTAAAGATCACATTTCAGCATTTTTCTGATTTAAAATCATTTAGGTTTTTGTAAAATCATACACGATAAACACTACTTAAGCAATACAATTCAAAATAGCTCATCTGTTTCCTCTTTCGACAAAGACTCATTTGTTTTTACTAACAGTGATGACTGAGAGGTTATCTAAGTAAATCATGTTTGTGTCCATGTACATATATAACAATGACATCTGTCCACTTGAAAGTAATAAATGCTTATTAAGGCATGCATGTTGGGACAATTTCTAGAAAGCTGAAAGCATAAATTCAGCAATATTTTTTAAAAGCCACAAGTCGAAGCTAAATGTATATGTGGTGACTCTTGATTTAGAAAAACAAAATATGAGTAAATATGCCAAAAAATATGGAAGCAATTTTTGGTATTTCCTTAATTTATACAGGGTGTGCAAAAAAAACAATACCCAAGTTTAAGGATGAATATCATGATATAACGTTAAACCATGCCATGTATCATTTTAAAAATAAATCATTTCCTAACGATGTGACACCATCTGCACCACGGCACCCCTGGTGTCAATTCTAGTCTCTAACCCCACAAGAAAACAAAGGTTTTTTAATTGGATGGTGTCATTTTGTTAGGAAATGATTTATTTTTAAAATGATATATAATACATTTCATGGTTTAACATATATCATATGAATCATTCATCTTTAAACTTGGGTATTGGTTTTTTGGCCCACCCTGTACATTCTAAGTAAATTCAAATTCAAATGAATAGGCCATACAGGTTGTGTATATTCCTGTAACTAATACAGAAGGGTACCGGGAATAGTAAGCTGCCGACAAACCTATTTTCATTTACAATGCATACACTGCACAGCCTTTCTATAATGCCAATAGGTGGGAGAGGCTATTAATGGAATACACTAAGTCGCTAACCAATTCACATATTCACAACAGTATGCAGACTCTATATAATGCAAATAGAATCTATATAAAGCACATTGATTCTCTATAATGCACATAGGAATTATGTAATGCAAATAGCTTCTATACAGCATACATCACAGTACATACCTATACCTATTAACCTAATGCTAAGTACTGACCTATGAAACAGAAAAACAATACAAACTGCTCAAGAATGAAATAATCATTAAATAAAGAACCCAAAACTGCTTAAATCATAGCCAAGTTCATATTGCACCTTGATTATATAACTTTTGTAAAGAAATGACTGGATACAGCAAAAATCTTAAGACTGCAAAAACCATAAAGCTAAAATTCTCTATGTGAACATAACCCTGAATGCATCTAGATGACTGTCCTTAGGATTAGGTTTTGGCATAGTGACACATTTTTGGTATGTGCACCATGTACTACACATTTTAATTTTAATAAACAGTGTACCTGAACATTTTGCTTCTCAGCCATTTGTTTCAACTCCTTTGTGTCTGACCCACTATCAACCTTTGGACTGTCTCGCTCAAGACTGAAGAAAAATGGCAAGCGGATCCTATACCCAAACGTCATGATGATCATGAGAATGAGAGTGATCACAACAAAGGCAAGGACGAATGGGGCCAGCTGTACAGGCATGTCTTTAAGAAGATGTTTGAAGAAATCACCAACAGATTCCCCGATGTATTTGACTGGCTCAAGAAGAAATTTTGTAAAGGTAACTGCAATTGCCTGAAATAAAAATATATACTGTAGACAAATTGTGTTTTATTGGGAAAATTTTATGCTCTAACCCTCCCCTAAATTACATGTAACATTTTTATGGTCAATATAAATCATATCGTAGAGGTTATCATAAACATGAACATAAATCACAAAACTAAATCACTTGGTGAATCTTTTATAAAAAAATTAAATCATGAAAATTCAATGCACAAAATAGTACTTGGACTATTATAGTACCTGAGTTGGGGCCACCTCAAGTATTGGGTTAACAAGTAGTGCCTCGTGGTACTGCACACATTCATCCTCCTGGAATGTGAACAAGTCCTTGAACCAGCTCCCCAAGGAATGGTGCCATGACATATCAGATGGTCTACATTCAGCTGGTATATTCTTCACTGCTTCAGCCATCTTTTTAGCAACTGCCATCTGAGAAAATGAATGTCATACTTGTACAGTACAATTCTGAAATAGTATTAGGGGCTAGGTGTGGTGTCTCATTTTTGTGATTATAATTATGTATTAAAGGGAGGGCTAAAAATCTCATTGTATAATAACATTTAACATTGACTGGTTGATGATGGTATTTCAGTGTTTTGTAATGGTAAAACAAATAGAGGGGGAAGTGGGGTTTAAGCTGTGTCAAATTAGTTTCTTATACAAAAACACTGATATTTTGACTGACCCTGCCCCTTCTGTGGAGCATAGCTTCTCAATCCCGATTTGGCTTGGGAGCTTTTATGAAGGTATTCAGAGTTCTGTAGTATTTTAATGTTTACCTTCACAGTTTTGAATATCATTAAGTTTACAGTTCAATGAGCACTATTCATAATGTGAAAAAATGTGAAAAATGCTAATATAAAACAATGGGAAAACACTTTGAATGTCTACATCCACAATAAAGAGCAAGAAATCAATGTTACCTTGTACAAGTGGACCCAATTCCAAGGAATGCTGATAAAGAATAACAGAGCAACCAGCTTGCCAAAGAGCTGAAGCATGGTTATCTGCAAGTGTATCTTCACTGACAGGTAAACACAGACTAAAGCCAATGTGACAGCACATAACACCTGCAAAAATGAAACAAAAATATGTTAATCAAGACACAGAGTGAATTCTATCACACTTTGAACAGAACATCAGGAACAATAGATTCCAAAAAGCCATTCTTCTGAGATTTCAATCGCAGTCAGAGATTTCCTAGGATTAGGGATTGCACTCTGAAAATACATTGCTTCATTGACCATAGAAACATGATTTAATGTTTGACTTAACTAGAAGAAACTGTAGTCTAGCTACAAACCTTGTGAGCCCCCCCCCCTCAACTACACACCTCCCACAGTGTGTTGATGAAGTAGATAAGGAAGGGGGTTTAGAGTCTTGAAGCAAGACTAAGAAATGCATTCACCCCTACATACCTGTAAAACTGTTTGAAACTGTAGTCCAAAAGTTTCCTCAAAGGACCAGGTTTCAGGCTCTAGAACAGAGCTTTCTCTTTGTGTTACCTTCACAATCATCTGACCTAGGGCTGAGTTTGCATCCTGAACATTTCCCTGGTCAGATTTGGCATACTTGGTGAGGGCAGCCATATCAGATGATGTCAATTTAACTGTCATGTCATAAACAGTGGAATCACCCTCTTGCAACTGAAATATAAATGCATGAAAAATCAAACTTTCGCGAAAAAAAAAAAAAAAAAAAACTTTCGTGAATCTCACCATCTTCACCATGAGTGTTTTTTCCTTCTGCAACTGCACACTTGATATACTGGACAAAAAAAAAATTCATTCAAAAACACTCTTAAATCAGAATTGCTTCATGGGGCGATACTAGCAATCTTAGTACATGAACTAGTCTTTCCATGTCAGGCTGTGAGGTTAACATTAACCTGGCCAACAAATTAGCTTTGAAAATGTTTGAACAGATGGCTCTCACTGTTGATGTGAAAGCTATATATCTCAACAATGTGGGGTTTAAAAAGTATGAATTCTTGGCTAGATTTATAGACAATTCAGCCCTAGGCGTTAATCCTTAATTTTGTAAAATTGGCAAGATAAACCTGAAAACTATGGACAAAACATATACCTTCCCATTAAATAAAAATAGATGGTGCCTGAAGTATAAAATACAACCCTATAACTATAATAGATATCTTAAAAATCTTAATTAGAAATGTTATAGGCCTAGTATTTTGTAGATTATATCATAGTGACTAATGAAATCTAACACTGAGATTTGAACAGTATAATCTTTATAACAAACCTTTGTGTTAAAATGAAGAAGAAGCCTGTTGATGTACTGTTTGAAGAACATGTCACAAGTTCCCTTATTACACTCAGTACACTCGGGACACCCTGATCCATCTGAAGCTGACGACAGCACGTCTCCATTGGCATCTTTGCATATCTTATCACATAGGACTGGTTGAAGTTGGTCCTTGTATTTCATACAATTTTGAACAATATCACTCATTTCTTCTGGGACTATTTCCTTTTCAGACTCTACGTACTATAAAACAAAATAACATTCATTTTTTAATTATACTATAAAATATGCCATCCCTTCAACTTTAACCCTAAAATACCCCAAAATATAAAAAAATGACTCAAATTAATGCATTTTATGTTTTTTTGTAATATATTTAACTCAGAAAACACTCATTTAACTTAAAAAAACATGCTAATTTTCTCAAATGGGCATTCAGTAGTTAAGTCCAAATATCAAACACCATAACTACCTTATTTGGTTTATGACTACTTCCTGGGATGGAATCTAAGTCAAGAAGCATATCCCCTGGGTCAATCCAGCCCTCGCGCCCCTTTCCTCCTCCCAGGTTGGGCTCATCCTCACACAAGGCCCTAGTAGTTACTAGGCACAGAAGCAAGAGACACTGCAACATATCCTGCAAGATAATCATAACAGGTGCACATCAGTTAAAGTAATTTGTAATATTAGAATGCCGATAAATTGGTCATAGCAACCTTTAAACTAACTTGAATATATTTTTTCTGAGACATTATTTGTTTGAAAAGGTTGTATTTTATCTTAACTTCAATTGGTAATAAAATACAAGTTCTACTTTAATTGACAATGCTACTAGGAACATGCATGTTAAGAACATTCTGACACTGTTCCTGTACAATTGCATGCTAAAATCATTTTTCCTTTCATCTGTCAAATTTTCTTTCAAACAAGTTTTGTATTGAACATTTCTTGAAATACTACAGTATGTGATCAGAACAAAGGTGACACACATTTACAGGGATGGCCAAAAACCAAAACACAATTATATTGAAATTGAATTTTGTTATTTCACATTTCACAGTACATGTGTATGTTACATCACTATGAGGATAACTAAATTACCATAATTTGACCTATGTGTAACATCTTGGAATTAAATGAATAGGATCATAGAATAATGTGTTTTTGGTAGGTATGGGTCTATTTTCTGATGACCAAGATCTTATTAGGCAAGGAGGGGACTCCGAAATTCAAAGATTAACCTATCTTCATATAAAGATAGATGAATCCTTTTTAAATGATTGGTCCTATTTACTGGCATATTTACAAATATTATAGCTCATTATTAAACATCAAAATGAAGAAAGATGTATTGACATGTGTTATTCAGAAACTACATGGTCACACCGGAATAGCCTGACAACGGTAAAGTCAGATACCGTTGTCAAAAAATGGTGGACATAACCGTCGCTTCAACTGTTTAATCACTTGGTCCTCATTTCATGGGATTTTATCGTCACTAATTCTGTTCATGCATTAAGCTCTTGTGATAATGTATCATATGAAATCCAATTTTCGATCAAATTGGGTCGTGAATCGCCACAATATAGCGTCTTCGATATCGCCAATGACAACAAAATCTGAATTTGAGTACATGTAATTTAGAAAGACAACAGCATATGGTAATTACAGTGTCCATTGCCCCGTATCTCATTTTGATCAGTTAAATTAAAGACTTTATTTCGATGGTAGAACATTATTAACTATACATGTACAATGAGTATTAAGATACTTTGATTGATTGTTGTTCCAAAGGAATTTAGTCTAGGTGCTATATTAAACATGCAGTCCATGAAAATCTAATTGAAGCGATGGTTATGTCCGTCATTTGTGACAACGGTATCTGACTTTACCTTTGGTGGAAATTTTGTGACAAATTTAGTTGGTACATGGGAACTATTATAAGTTCAATTGTAAACTATTGCGTTCTCCTCCTCTTTGATGAGGCAAAAGTACAACATGGGACCAGTGGTGTAAAATACCAGTGCAGAGACCCCAATAAATAAATGTAAATGACAGTTTCAATTTTGTAAATAGCTGAAATTTGTTGACAGACAAATGGAAGTGGGCAAGTGAGCAATTCCTTAAGGTTAACATGTGAGCCAAATACCAAATTTCCCTATGGCTGGGGTTGATAGCAGTAGCATTGCCAAATCATTTTATCAAAAAACGTGTGTGGGGAACTATAACATCTTTGAATTATAATTGACTGCATATACAGTGTATAATTACTAATATCAAATAACAACAATTATTCAACATCTTAGAAATAGTGTATTTCAAGTTTGTTAGAAAATGTTGATGAAACAACTTACTAAGCTATCACACTATTTATTTAATCATATTTGAATAATAATTGAATAGTTATTGATGTTTTCATTTGTGCTTGCAATAAGTGGTAGATTAACAGCCGTTCAATGTTACTCAGCAAAATACAGTATTGAGAGTTTAGCCAAATACTTGTAGGCCTACTGTGGATGGATGTGAAACAGTTAAAGGGGTATTCCTTGCCAGACCATCTCTCTCCTAATATGGTAGCTATAACCATATACAGGGCGTTCAGTAAGTAAAGCTAATTTTGCTCTCAAACTTTTATTTCTTGTCTATCATCTTTCAAATTTTCAGTGGAGAAGCATCAGACACTTTTCTAACTATCCTGACAAAATGATCAAGATATAATGAATAACAGCAAAATGGTGGTTGTCATAGTAACGCGAATACGGGTTCTGCGGAGCAATTTTATAAGTTCACAGCATAGTAGATTTTGTTAACGTTAGTTTCTGTCCTGTCTATGTTTCAACCATAGTTCTGTGGCTACTTCACATTCTACTTTCAAGTTAGCATTCTATTTCATGTTCAAAGTAGTTGTGAATCAGATAATGTACCCATCCTAGGCTGATATTGGTTAGTTCTGAGAGTTCCCTTACAGTTATACTGCGGTCTTCATCTAACGATTGCCTCAAATGATTCATGTTAGCCTCTTTGGTTAGAAGTTTTGGCCTCCCTGACCTTGGCTCGTCACTTGTTGTTTTTCTCGCCTTTTGGAATTTCTGATACCATTTGTAGATTGTGTACTTAGGCACACTGTCCCCATATCCTTTTTGGATATCCCTAATGGTATCCTGCTTGGATTTCCCTAGCAACACATTGTATCTGATGCTACTTCTCAATTGTTGTTTCATTTCATTGTTCATTTTGCTTCCATTGGCAATCCTGGCAGCCATGATTTTGATGATGTCATGGAGCAGTGTCTGATGGATCATTCTGGATCATTCCATCTGTTGTATCATCTGTCTGTGATGTCATAGACTACTGTTGCCATGGTATCATATTTGTGTATGTTGTTGTTATGTTTGTCGTGACTTTCAGCCATAGCAAACAAAGACATATGCAGCATTAATCTTAATCAATTTCATTGCATTATAACATTATTAAAGTAAGAAATTGCTCCGCAGAACCCGTATTCATGTTACTATGACAACCATTGTTTTGCTATTATTCATCATATCTTATTTAATTTTTCAGGGTAGTTAGAAGAATGTCAAATGCTTCTTCACTGAAAATTTGAAAGATAAATGACAAAAAATAAAAGTTTGACATCAGACACTTTTCTAACTATCCTGACAAAATGATCAAGATATAATGAATAACAGCAAAATGGTGGTTGTCATAGTAACGCGAATACGGGTTCTGCGGAGCAATTTTATAAGTTCACAGCATAGTAGATTTTGTTAACGTTAGTTTCTGTCCTGTCTATGTTTCAACCATAGTTCTGTGGCTACTTCACATTCTACTTTCAAGTTAGCATTCTATTTCATGTTCAAAGTAGTTGTGAATCAGATAATGTACCCATCCTAGGCTGATATTGGTTAGTTCTGAGAGTTCCCTTACAGTTATACTGCGGTCTTCATCTAACGATTGCCTCAAATGATTCATGTTAGCCTCTTTGGTTAGAAGTTTTGGCCTCCCTGACCTTGGCTCGTCACTTGTTGTTTTTCTCGCCTTTTGGAATTTCTGATACCATTTGTAGATTGTGTACTTAGGCACACTGTCCCCATATCCTTTTTGGATATCCCTAATGGTATCCTGCTTGGATTTCCCTAGCAACACATTGTATCTGATGCTACTTCTCAATTGTTGTTTCATTTCATTGTTCATTTTGCTTCCATTGGCAATCCTGGCAGCCATGATTTTGATGATGTCATGGAGCAGTGTCTGATGGATCATTCTGGATCATTCCATCTGTTGTATCATCTGTCTGTGATGTCATAGACTACTGTTGCCATGGTATCATATTTGTGTATGTTGTTGTTATGTTTGTCGTGACTTTCAGCCATAGCAAACAAAGACATATGCAGCATTAATCTTAATCAATTTCATTGCATTATAACATTATTAAAGTAAGAAATTGCTCCGCAGAACCCGTATTCATGTTACTATGACAACCATTGTTTTGCTATTATTCATCATATCTTATTTAATTTTTCAGGGTAGTTAGAAGAATGTCAAATGCTTCTTCACTGAAAATTTGAAAGATAAATGACAAAAAATAAAAGTTTGAGAGCAAAATTAGTTTTACTTACTGAACTTACATACTTTTCAAGTTTATCAAAAAACAGAATTTTTTTTGAAATGGTCAATATTGATCACTTAAAAATGTAGTGCTCAATTCCAGTAGGCTGCCATCTTTTAAAATTTCACTCAGGAAGTGATGTCATCGACTCTCAACTTTGCATATAACATTAGGTAAGGAGCTATTAGAATTACTAAACCAGCTGAATATTTTTTTCAATTTGGTCTATGATTAAAATCCTTTTGATGATCTCTTCTTTAGTTCTAAGTTGGCAACTCCTGAAAATATTTTTACAAAGAAGATAAGGGCTTCTTGTTTAGAAGTGATTTTGTACTTCTTTCCTATACTGTAATAGACAAGGTTATAACAGGTGAGAGTCGATGACATCACTTCCTGAAAGAAATCTGAAAAGATGGCAGCTTACTGGGAATGAGTACTACATTTTTAAATGATCAATATTGACCATATCAAAAAAATTTCCCGTATTTTGCTAAATATGTAAAGTGTATATATGATTGTAGCTATCATATCAGGAGAGAAATAGTCTGGCAAGGAATGTTCCTTTAAACTTCAACTCCATGGCTCAATACTACTGTATTATGGCGATGTTTAGAATTAAATGTTTGATTTCATGATGGTAAAATTGACGTTAGATGGCCCTTTTAAGCATATAAATCATTAAAACATGCTACAGTGTACTTAGATATAGAAAATAATAAAAACACTTATTAACAGTGAAAGTGCATATTTTGCATGACTTAACTATTTTTCATCTACAACTGTAGGTGGGAATCTGCTGGTTTGTAATTTATGACCAGTAGTTCAAATAAAAATAATTTAATAATCATATGAGTGTTTTACTTTTGGTCAAATATATCAGAGTGGCAATCAATATATTTTCAAGCAGTTTCACCTCAGTTTAACACAACATTTGAAGAAATAAATTTCAAGTAAAATCACATTTTTAGTGTGCGTTGGGTGCGCCCCCCTTTTTGAGCTAGATTTTGATAACTTTTCCCCTAGTTCAGCAAGTTGAACCTAGTCTGAGCCTTATTTATTATCTGAAATTTAATTACTTGGCAGGAATAGCAATCCAACCCAAAGAAACTTCAGATTAATATATTAAGCCAGAATTGGGTTTAACTTAACTTGTTAAAGTACTTTTCCCAAGATATTCCGCACATGATGCTGAGGATGCTGCGGTCAGGAGACTTGGAGGAAAGAAGAATGTGCTTGGTGAAAGAGTCAGAGAACCAAGTGAAGGAGCAAGCCAAGTGCAACCTTTTTTTTAGATAAAGACCATGAACTTTTGAAAGCCGATGATGTAGACGTATCCCTCTTGGAAGATCCACAGCAGGGCTGCTATGTACCACAGTCAGCAGTTATCATCCTTTAACCATATTATGTATGTGTAAAGTATATGAGAGAACTTCCCTCTAACAGCAATTGATCTTGAGTTACTCGAGTCTCTAGCTTACAGCTAGACGTAACTTCATTGATTTCGTATGTACTGTGCTACACGCACCTACACGCACCTAGAATTCATTTTTAATAAATTTTATAAATATTTCTAAGAATATTAATCATATTTAGGATGAAGCTTTGCTTGTCTGGATTTAGATATTTCAAAATTTCATTTCGGAGTTTGACACATGGTGGAATTTTCTCGCTGTAGCTAAAAATGGCTTCCGGTTCTGGACGTGAATAAAATGGAGGAAACTTTGAAATTATTCTCGCTTAAAAAAATCAAATATAACAATAGATTCAGACGGGATGTGAGCTGATGTTCTTCAAATCTATACATAAAGGTATATTTCATATTATTATGCCATATTTACTGTGCGTGTGACACAATGATTTACAATATTTATAATACTAAGGCAGCTCAATCTTCCTCCTCAAAGCCGGAATATAGAGAAGGCTTTGGACCGAAGTAAATCTTGAGCTATATCCCAGACCAACAATTTTCTTTGTCTATGTCAGTAATCTGCACATTCTCAAAATCATTGCGTATCTCATGAATGGGACCCTCATGTCAATGGTGTAGCCAGGATTTGGTGACCAGGCATTTTCATTTTTATGATATTCTCAAATAGGGTTATCATTAGAGTTCTTCACATAAAAGCATTTTTGTATTTATACATACAATCATGCCCATGATACAATCCCTCCAAAGGTTTGGAAGCCCTAACTCCCCTATTGGATTACGAGTTCAGGCCTCTTTATGACTTAATTCTTATTTGCATAACCTGCAGAGAAAAACTATTAAAAATTGATATTGTTCTTTATGTTCAAAAAAGCTCTCCAAAATCAAAATAGCACAGAAGGCGAAAATCATTTTCAAAAATGAATTTGAAGTTTTGTAACTTTAATGTTCACACAGTAAACTAAACACTAAGTGTACCCCCATGAATTGATTTTTCAAATCACCCCCACTCCATAACTACTTATGATTTAGTTCAGCGTCAAAGCGTTAAACTCAATAACGGCGTTCTTTATTATTAGGAATTTCCTTGGGGCCATTATTGAGTTTAACCTCCATGCTATTCTTTCCTTTGATGCAAGTTGTGGATCTATCGAAACCACTTTTCCTCGCTAATATGACACTGATACTTAACAATAATATAAAACCACATTTCATCAGGCGATTTCACATAATATTATTGTGTTAAATGTTCATTTTTAATCGTAAAATGAGTCTTATTCTAACCAATTTATGAGACGAATATTTCAACCGGCAATGTCTGTCTGTGCGTCGCCAAAGTAAACTTGGTCAGCGAAACGAAATTGTTCTTCAATATTGATATTTATTATAACCATCCAGTATGATACGAATCTTTGCTTTATTCAAACAGCGCGTGTATTCACCCAAGTTTACTCTATTGTTATTTATAAAAACTTTAAAAAGCAACATTATTGATGCATTTGATTACTGGTAATTTCAGCTCAAAGAAATATAGATGTCATTGATTGTGCTAGATTGTGATTGTGTTGAATAATTGTGCCTAAATATTAAATTATGGTAATTGTTCATGGTTTTCTGCTTGCAAAAAAGTACCTAGGAATACACTCAATTGTTTATAACTGGGATCATGTATTTTACTCAGCATACATGCTTTGTAACAATTGTTACATTTTAATAACTTCAATGTGGTGATGTATTGTGATAAGATTACATGTACAGTGATCTCCCCATGTCACTTTTACCGGGGGCTCCCCCTACTTGAAACCAAAGGCCCCCCAGTTGGCACCCAGTTGGCATCTGCACTTCAACTTCTGATTTAAAGAATGAGTGAAGTAAGCACCTACACTGAGATATTGTGAGCGTAGCGAGTGCTGATTTTTTTAGACTTGAAATCTTGCACCCAGTTGAAAATTTTTTTTGGGGAGAACACTGATGTATAAGCATGGTTGTTTTATTCCTAGCTCTTAAATGTATGATGTTCTTAATAAAATTAAACAGAAGTTTTGTATATGCTATTTTATAAAACATATTTTTCTACAATGATATTTCATTTACTCAATGAGAGAAAAGTTAAACACATGTGTTTTATCACGATATTGGAGCAAGTAAATGTACTTTTAACCTATACTTCACACCTGATTTATCTCGATACCTCCAAATCTGATTTTTTTCAAATCAACACTTTTCAGCTTTTTTCGATCTCATTACTCTAATGTTAAAAAACCTTACTTGATCGTCATTAAACATTCAGTCAAAATGATGTCATACTATCTAGTATTTGAAATGTACATGTAAAAGTACATCAAGAAATATTGCTTCAAATATTGTTGATCAATTTTGAAAAATTTTTGTTTTGGAAAATGTAAATGCTACTACGGGGAGATTCAACATATAAAGTCACAAAAAGTGAAATATGTTTTCTTGTATTGGACAGATAATATTTTCTTTTACATTATTTTAATTTGCATAACTATGTCATGCTATGTGACCTGAATGAGCCACCTGGTGGTGAAACTGGTAACTACCTACTCGCATCTGAGTTATTACAATGGGAAATCACTGACTTTCTGGGAGAGAAAACTTTGGCACAATATATATTTAAACATGTTAAGAAAAATATCTAATTATTCAGTATCACATGCTTGCGTCTGTCCAAAGATGTTGAAAGCTTTAGCATTTTAGCCAGAAATTTACCATAATTCTGAAAATAAAACAGGAAAAAAGTAGGAAACTTAATCATGTTTATCGCAAGCCTCCTACAGTATTACAATATTTTGTACGTATATATAGGATAACCGGGGTTCGTTTCGTTTTATGAACTTGTTTCGTTCAGTGTTGCTAACGGCGGTTTATTCCTGAAAGGATTTGCCATTTCGATGTTACCGGAACCAGAACAGAGTTTTCTAAACTAAGAAAAAGCCTTCTCCCAACATTTTCATAATTATACATCGATGAGGTTACAGGGGGGTATGTGATGATTTGTATTTATTCATAAGGTATGTATGCATGCGTTGATCACATTATTTCTGTAACGATACCATCTTATTACGGTTTAATTAGTTCCGCATGTCGAAACCTGCTGAACGATTAAATGATCGCATCAAGGGCAAAATCATCATGGAAGTTAGACCTAGCCGGGGCCATAAGACATGTCAGATAAGAAACGAGGCCCAGGCTAGGTCTAATGTTGTTGGACTACTTATGATTGTGTCTTGAAGAACTTTGATGATGCAGCCTGGTTCCCTTGAGAGTCTCGAGTGACAATTAATCATAATCATAATGAGAACCAAAAAGGACTTGATACATACATGACATAACAACTTCGTCTGAATTTGAACTGAATTTGAAATTGAATATCAAAATGAAATGAAAACTCGACATTTGATTTGGATTTTACGAAAATTTTAATATGTCGTCGTCAAAATACAATTTTGGGATTAAATCAGGAGGTCCAGCCTAATTTGAACATGTTGAATGCTTTGATTAAATGAAAGGCATGGTTTACTTACTTTTGCTTCAGTCGATGATCCAAAAATAAACTAAAACATTTCGAATCCTAAATCTTCAAAATTCTTTACGTCGTCCATAGCAGTTCGTTCAGTGCAATTTACCCAATTTACTCTCGAGGTGTAATGATTTCCTACCAGCAAATTACCAAGTAGATAATGTTATGAGGGACAGAAATTCAAAAAAATATGAAAAAACTGATGCATGGGGCAAAGAAATGCTAGAGTTATGTATTTCAAGTCAGATGCGTATTCTAAATGGTAGGACAGTGGGTGATAGTATGGGGAAATTGACGTGTTACCAGTACAACGGTGCTTCGACAATCGACTTCTGTATTGTAGATGTAGAGTTATTAAAAAAAGTATTGTTTTTTAAGGTTCAAGATTTAACAGAGTTTTCTGATCATTGTCAAATATGTGTTGCATTAGACATGGTGAGAGTGTTGAACGATAACGAAGATATTACGAATCTAGAACCAATTCCCGTGACTCCTAAATGGAATGATATTATTGCTGAAAAGTTTAAGGTACACATGAGCTCAGTTGGAGTTGAACAAGAAATAAAACATGTTATGGGAATAAAACTTAGAGAGTATAATAGCAACAAAGATTACCTGAACGATATTGTTAAAAAAATAGTTGATATTTATAAGCATGCAACAATTGCTATTAAATGTAGGCCAATTGTAAGTACGGGGGTCATTCTAAAAACAAGAAGGTGAAGAACAAATGGTTTGATACAGATTGTAAATGTTTGAAAAAACGAATAAGAAATATTGGAGTACTAGTAGGGCAATGCCCAACAGATGGAAATATTAAAGAATTGAATAGATTAAGAAAAATATATAAATCAGTTATACGTAAAAAGAAACGAGAATATAAGGATAAATTGGTGAGAGGTGTAATGAAACTAGAAAAAAATGACCCGAAAGCATTTTGGAAAACCATAGAGGAATTCAAAGATGGTAAACATGATGTTAAGGATGATAAATGTAATCAAATAGCTCCCGATAAATGGGTTCGATATTTCAAAGATTTAATGAAAGAGAATATGGAACAAGTTGGTAAATATGATAGCAAAAAGGATAATAATTATACTTTTATTGACATAGAACACTTTAATCGTGGAATATCAATGAAAGAACTTAAAAAAAGTATAAATAAGTTGAAGAGCAATAAAGCCGTTGGTTTAGATTCAATTAGAAATGAAATGTTAAAAAATAGTCCAGACATGTTGATACAGGTGATAAGAAATCTTTTTAATAATATCCTTGACAATAACATTTACCCTACTCAATGGAGAGAGAGTCTAATTAAACCTTTATTTAAAAGTGGAGATTATTTATTACCAAATAATTATCGTGGGATTGCGTTATCAAGTGCAATGAGTAAATTGTTTGCGGATATTTTGAATAAAAGAATGGAAGAATTCATAGAGTCGCAAAATATAATTCATAGAGAACAAATCGGGTTTAAAAAGAATTGCCGAACTGCAGATCACTTATTGATATTGAAACAGCTAATTGATAAACACGTGACGGTAGGGAAATATTTATATACATGCTTTGTAGATTTCAGAAAAGCCTATGATAGCATACCCAGGCCACTTTTATTGCAGAAATTAAAAAATCTAGGCATGGGAGGCAAAATATATGATATAATCGATAACATGTACTCAAGTGTCATATACAGAGTAAAACTTAAAAACGGGTTAACAAGTCCAATACACTCTAAATTAGGATTAAAACAAGGCTGCTTAATCAGTCCTTTATGTTTCAACTTATATATAAATGACATAATAGATATTTTTGATGACCAATGTAAGCCTGTCAAAATCGGTAGTAATGATGAAACGTTAATAAATGTACTCTTATATGCGGATGATCTGGTCTTGATATCAGAAACAAATGAGGGACTACAATACTGTCTTGATAAACTAAAAACATATTGTTCAAAATGGAAATTAAACATTAATATTGAAAAAACGAAAGTTGTGATTTTTAATAAATCAGGAAAAATAATAAAACACAGTCATTTTAAATTTGGAAGTATAAATATAGAAAAAGTAAATGAATATAAATATTTGGGATTTGTTTTAAAAAGCTCTGGGAGTTTGAAACATGGCATATCAGAATTAAGTAAGAAGGCGATGAAAGTTATTTTTATGATGAGACAAAATTTTAAGTTTTCAACTATCAATGTAGAATTGCACACAAAAATCTTTGACATGTGTGTTAAGCCTATATTATTATACGGAAGTGAATTTTGGTCAATGCTTCACTTGAAAGTTGACAGAAGGATTAGTCAAGGGGACCTTAAACTAGAGAGTTCTTATGAAGACTTTATTCCTGAAAAAATACACAATAAATTTTGCAAATTCCTTTTAGGGGTTAACAAATATACTTCAAGTTATGCCGTTAAAAAAGATTTAGGAAGATTTCCATTAGCTATAGACTCACTTATATATTCCATAAAATATTGGTTGAAATGTGTGCATCAAACAAACGCGGATAGCTTAATAAATATATCATTTCGGGATAAAAATAACATATATGTCAAACATATGGAATGCATATTAAAGTACTTTCATTTTCAACATGTCTTTGAAAATGGGAGTACGTTTGGAATAAAACGATTACTAAAAGCAATTAAACTTGAAATGCAAAGAAAATATATAGAACTTAATGATAGAGCTATAAGGGAAAATAGAAAACTTGGAAATTATATGAAAATTGATTACAATCTGGAAAGATATTTAACATTAAGCGTGAACAAAATGTTAATTTTTAAAATGGCCAGGTTTAGATTAGCAAACCATAATTTAAGAATTGAAACAGGGAGACACGAGAAAAAGAAAAAAGATGGCACTAAACAGCATCGACTTGAAATAAATGAAAGAATTTGTCAGATTTGCAATAAGGGGGAAGTAGAGGATGAAAAGCATTTTCTTCTTGTGTGTGATGGCTATAAAAAATGTAGATTTGAATTTTTTAATAAACTAAGTTTTATTGACACATTTGATAATATGTCGGATAAAGAAAAATATAACTTTTTGATGACTTCTGATGATTTTGAAATTGTTAACGAATTGATACATTTTATAAATAAACTTTTTAATCAGCGTCGGGAGCTATTTGAAAAAGGAAAGATTGTATGATGGTATTTGTGAAACAATGCATGTTGTTTTTTTAACTGTATAATTATATGTAAATGTCTTGTAATTGATTTTGTGAGGAAACCAAGTGTTTGGTTTGAAACACAATAAAATCTTGAATCTTGAATCTTGAATCTCTCGAACTTGTTCGTTCAGTGCAATTGTATGTACCCGGCCCATTCAAATTCATCTTCCTCACAGGGGCGGATTCAGGATCCAAGTCTGACGAATTCGTGCAGAATATTAAACAACAGGTATTTACATTGCACATTGGTGGTTCAATTTCGGTGCGAAAAAGCAGCTTTTGAGTTAAATAGATTAATTGTTTGTAAATCTTTTTGTAATGCTATCTTGTATAAATGACCTGCTTTGCTCATTGAAATAAGGCGACGGCACTTTGAATTGAATATCAAAATTGCTGCTTCGAAAATTATCATGAGAACTGTATATTTTCGTTTACACCCCTGTGGTCTATATACGTATTGTATTTTTGTATCGAAGAACCCATGAAGATTTATTAATCCCATTTAGGAACCATTGCAAGAACACATTTTGGCATTTCAATCAGAAATGTTTTTAAAATCCATGCATTATTGAAAAGGTTATCGAAAATTTAGATATGGACGTTTTTCGGCCCATGGCTGAATATACCATACTCCGACAGACACTTATTTTACGAGGTCTTATAGAAAAAATTAATAAAAAGATCACGAACATCTTTTTATGCTCGATTTTGTTGTCGGCACTATCGTGCAGAGGGGCCATTCAACGATTACCCTTTGCATTCGTTCGACTTCACTTCTTAAAAGAGAGCTTCGTCTTGTAGTTTATACATATCCAGCAATCGTAATGTTAAATTCATCAAATGTGTTTTCTGGTTTCCTTAATTTCGCCAATTTCTTAAGAAATTGATGGATAATTTCAAGATTATATGATCAGACACATAAACATGGCATATACCACATAAGTTTCTCATATTTAGTTGTTGTTTTTTTGTTGAACCATATTACGTACATGGATAACTGTATTTTATTTACAATTAGGCTGCATCTTGTATTAGACCAAAACACAGCACCAAGTTTCACTAGAGCTGCTTAGAACACTTCTTGTGTTGACAGCTCTCCTGATAAAGAAAGTGACTGGTAATTTCTGGATTTGAACTAGACTCTGCGCGCAGAGTATTCAACGATCATGGACCAGTGTCAAAATATATCTAAGTTTGGATATTTCATCAAGACTAACATATATTTTTATTATCTCCAAAGAAACCCCCTGGATGAACATTATTTCAGCTGATATTCTTCTTAATGATAGTTTATCCATACATTAATTTTGAAAATAGGTATGTTAAGCCAGATGTTGTCCTGAAGTAAGATTTGCGAATTCCCTCTCTACAGACCTTGTTGCCTCTTTAAAGGAAATGAACACTAGTTAGCCCTAGAATAAAGTATAATTCGCTTTTAAGAAAATACGAATTACAAGGATTGCTACAAGCCCGGAATATTCTAAAATTTTTGTAATGATTTTTTGCTTTTTTCTGCATTTTAGCCCACCAGTGATTTCTTAAGATTAAAAAATAGAATTTACCTTCTGTTAAAGCATACAATAACGGATCAATAATCATGTATTAATTAAAATATGAAATCAAATTCAAATTCAGACTCTCAAGCTGTTGCCAGAAGTATTTATATTTCTGTTTCTTTAATTTCTCAATCAACAACTTACTGCGTGATGCCAATTCAGAAATAAAGACGTGGCAAAATGATGAAACCATTTCAATGAACATGTAGCCAAAGATATAGGCATCGAATATCTGAAACATTAGATAACCAAGGGATAAAATATATAATCAAAAGTTAATGCTGGAGGAGCAGAACTAAAATATAAAATCGTATATTGTAATTATAACAGTAAGTTTGCTTTTATTGTAGCCACCGATAGCAAAATAGTAGGATTAGATTCCAGGGATGAGACTATATAAGGGAATTTTTTAACCGATCACATTGGACTTGTTCAGCCTAAGTATACTTGAACTACTAGCATTGTTTTCAATTCACCTGTTATGAAATTGAACTGGTTTCAAAACTTGTCATTGTGTTCTAGCTGGGAACCTTTTTGTAAATGCTTATACACTTTTGTTTAATCAATTATCAATCTATTTTGTTTTGTAGAGACAATAATATATACACTATTTTCATAATTTTTCTTGGTGCCTTTATATTAGTATAAGATACCATGGGCTTTCAACTATACCTAATGTTATGTCCGTCTTGAAATATTAACGTCCTTATCATTTTAGGCAAGATGAGACTTTTGCCATTTCCAAAAGATCACTCAATCCTGGTGACGACACTAACACTGCTGAGTCTAGTATCCATAGTGATGGGGAGTGCCATCGAGCCACCATGGTGCAAGTCAAGGCATGCCGTGTGCTACCATTGTGTCAAGAAACATCAAGGAAACTTCGATGGGCAGCATAGTTTATATAGAAAATGCTGCAATACAGACAGTTCTTGGAACCTTTGTAAAAGGTAACGACAGATGTGGCACGGATGCGTTCTGATACGCATCACATTGTCTTACATTGCAGATTGAACTTTCACTTAAAAAGATCAAGAGAAAACACATTGATAGCAAGTGAGGTGGCAAATCAGTGTCTGACAGTCTGATTAAGGATTTAAGCCCTGGAGTCAGAGCAATGTAGACTGACTCATTCTTCAAAAAGGTGTTATTTCAACCTTTGAACGAGATGCGCAGCATCGAGTGTGAAGCTTAGGAAATAACGCCTGAGTAGAATTAATCAGCAATCATTCACGTCTTGGGCTTGAATTATTTTCACACATTGCAAAATATTTTCTGAGCACGAAATCATCTAGTAAACGATACGAAATCACTAAATAACATATTTTCAATGAAACTTTTTGGTCACGTTGGCAAAGCATCAATTTCAATATGTAGAGTCAAGTTGTCGCCTTGACAACCATTCAACGAGTGACCTTGGGTGGGTTATTGGTTATATAATGCAATGCAGTTATATGAAATACGGTGTTCGGATTGGCTGGAATCGGGCACACACTGCCTAGCTATGAGTGAATTAGTTAATTATCTGTTTTAATTGTAGCAAATATAGTTCGGTGTGACCGTAAGGAAAGATGGACAACTAAGTATGCATAACATTAGTTTGAATATGTTTTCAGGTTCTTTCATGGTGAAGATCTATAACGGGTATAAAGTTGTACAGCAGACTGTGAACATATCTATAAATTGAACAGAATGAGTTAAAAAATTAAAGACATTGTGAAAATACATTTTCCAGATTCTTCTATGGAGAGGATTTGTAAATACTACTACGCGGCGTGAGGAATTAAACAAGACACGATGTAAAATTTTGCCTCATCGTTTATCTTTATGCTCAACATTGGAAATGATTTAACTGTGTACCATCATTGTTGGATATACTACCTGTACCTTTAATTACAAGGAACGATCAATAGTTTCTTGAATGGTGAAAGATGGATGGATTGCATTTTCAAAAGACAATTAAACATGAACATACAAACATTTAAAATTAAAGTTTGGAGATGAAAACGAACGGATCCAGTTGTTACATTTTATGTAATCAATTTTGAAAATCAGTGCGACATATACAGGGCGGTCCAAAAAATCATACAGTATTCCATAGCTGATCAAACCACTCTCTCTATAGCTTTAAAGGGCAGCATTGCAAAGAGAGGAGTTGGGAGTTACTTTCCAAAATGACACAATTCAGTAATTTTATATGGTTTGAAAAATAAAGTTTGGAGATGAAGAAAGAATAGATCTACTTGTTGATGTGATATATTTTGAAAATGGGAATCGTGCTACATATACATGTATTAAGCAGTGCTCCAATCCAATTTTTGGTTACAGCATTCCATCTAACTGCTTCTTTCTAAAAGTTCCCTGAGCTCTAACTTTGTTTCACAAATGTCTTGATAAGGTTAGTTAGCCAAACTTTTGAAAGTGGACGTCTCCTTTTTCAATTGTAATGAATTTCGAAATATCCGCATCCTAAATATCTGAAATACATTCCATGATTTCCTGGACAAGAATCTGCAAAATTTCCATTCTGAGACAATGTCGAAATTGATACATAGTATAACAAGATATACAGTATTTGCACGTTTTAGTGTTGATCCATCTATTTTGACATGCAGAAAACGGATGAGCATGCCCCTTTAAACTCACGTAGTGTTTTCCATTAGAATCAAATACCTTTAAAATATCCTAAAAGTGTTTCAAATGCCGTTGTGCCTGCCCAGCTGTACATTTAACAAATTCTCATAATGCGACATATCCAGATTAGACAATTCGGGATTTAACGTTTTTTTTAACATATGCCGTTCAAGGCAAGTATACCCAACAGGTTCAAAGCTATAGTCGAACTTATTGGCGAATAGGTACGGTGACTGAACAAGAAACGGCAAGTCCTTGATGCCATAAATGCAGACAGTTCTAACGAATTTTCCATAGCAATGACGATTCTTGTTGTCACCCCATATCACTGCTTTTGAAATGGAATTTGGACGGTGTGCATCTTCTTGGAATGAGGTGCCTGCAACGACAAGTATGAGAGTATGTTTGTTATAGAATGCAGATGAATAACAACATTTTCATGAAGCTTGGTCTTCATTACGTTCGACCGAAGGGAGCCGAATGAGCGAAGGTGCAATAACAGAGGATACGAGTGAAATACAGGGTGGTCAAAAAAACTGGAAACCCTTACACCGTTTTCCTAATATCTTTGTCATTTTGAGAAATAACTTTACACATTTGTACATCATTCAATTTCCTACTGGTCTACTATATTTCTTGACCATCAGATTGATAGTCACAGTGTTACAGCACTTTAAAGAACATTCCCGTTGGCCACTATTGCGGTATAGAGAAACCCGCACATATCGTCCAAAATGTCCCTACCTATGGGGATATGGCAGAGATAGAGTGTATAAGAATGACCTCAGGACAATTGCAGACCTCAAAAATGAGATCATCTGTATCATTCAAGTCATACCTGCTGAGAAATACATTTGGGTCATTGACAACTGTGCAGGTTTGCCTACAGCGCGATGATGGCCAAACCTGCAGCATGTTGTTCAAAGTGCTGTAAAATCGTGACTATCAGTCCGATCGTCATGAAATATGGTAGGGTAATAGGAAATTTAATGATTTACAAATGTGTGAGGGGAGTAATTTCTTAAAATGACAAAGATATGAGAAAAATGCAGGGTTTCCATTTTTTGACCACCCTGTATAAGATACACCTTTGAATCTATTTCCAAAATAAATAGGTGGCAATATATGCAGCTTCATGATAACTAATTCTATCAAGACATTTTATTAAAGAGAACGTTACAAGTAAAAATAACACACATGTTTGACCTAAAGCATTTGGCTATCAATGAAACGTTGAAGGGTATTTTTGAGTGATTAGTATATTACCTTCAAATTGTCCAGGAGCATTAATATGCGGATTATGATTAAGTGTGTTGAAAAAATGTTCATCTGGATTAGCAGTCGTTTTACACCAATCCAGAAAGTCTTGTGCAACTTCATCTTCCATGAGAAACTCTACAAAGCGTCTGCTGAAGACTCCATAGACGGTTCCCTTGTGCATGACCAAGTTGTGTGGTGGAGGCTGCTTTGGTATTGGCTGCATATGTCGGTTCTCGTCCCATAGAAAATTCCAACGGTATGTTAGTCCCTTTGCACTAAAAATCAAATGTACATATATTGGTTGGTTTCATTCTTAGTGACAACGAATCTGAACCAGACAAAGTCCAGTTATGAATGAGACATATACAAATATAGTTTAAGACACCATTGGTAAGAGAGATGGCTAAAATAAAACCTACGCAGATTCAGATCCGGCGATGTCATTTGTTCCATTTAGAGTCCGCAATATTGCAACTATTTCTGCATTTGTTTTGAGTGGAAATTCTTGCCCTGTTAGATTGATGAAATATTTCCATCGACCACGGTAAAACATAACCAGATCTGACATGCAGTTGAGATAAAGTTCCAAGTTGCCAAATGCTCCCCATACAACTTTAGTTCTCTTTGAGCTGAGAAACACATTTGGAAAACAAGCAGCTATGCTGGATATTGCAATGTATGCCTCATGTGACATCATTTCCACGTGTATGCAATAAAGATTCTGTGGAAAATAAATAGCTCTAAGAAGCCGTTCTACTTGCTCAACGTCTCTGTACATAGCTATCTGAAACGCAACTGGAAACTTGTTTTCTATTGCACTAAGAGGTTTAGTGTGATATCCACGCCGAGTTTTGAAAATTTCACAATTTTGGGTCAGCTCTACAAATACGTTATCAGAGATAATCGCCTGTTTGTGTTCTCTCATGTAATTCTGGGCGTGCGTGATAGCATCTTCATCTTTGTTTATAATTTGTGCACAATCCACTGGATCAGTATGGTTTAATCTCCTATATATCTCTTCCAATCTATCGTCAATTTGAGCACTATCTCCCCGATGTTCTCGATCAATCACTCCTTTATGTTTATTATCGAGATCATCATCAACATTGAGCATATTGTCATTTCGCAATGACTCAAGAAGTCTTGCTCGAGATCTTTTCCATATTACATCAGCTGAATACTGATTTAGTATCAAATAGAGTGCAGATAGTAAAATAAGAAGAGAAAATATTTCTTTCATAAAGTTATGAATTATTTTCATCGCAATTGATACTTAATCAATACGCTGATTTGGTATCAATCTGAATATCAAAACTTAAAACATTCTTCAAAACTTGCATTGTAGAATCTGATATTGTAAAACGCAATGCCAAAGATACAAATGCTAGAGATAAGTGTATATTCCCAATCGTTATTTAAGAGTTACACTAGTTAAAGTCCATTACAAAAACATTTGTCAGACCATTATTGCAATGCCTTGGGATATTTAAAATCTCACCGATAAGTGTATATGCTTTAGCGTTTTGAAATACATTTTTTGCATTGCTATTGTTATATTTTTGCTGTTATCGAAGTGGCATGCTTTGTATAAAAGTATCAATTTGGAGTTATATTTTTGGCGAATTCGGCAAAATTGAAAAATTGGTGAATGCATATTTTTGGCGAATTACTATAACTACAATTAGCTATTTTATCTTTCTAACTAAAATCCACATTGTGTTTTTCAGACAGCGTTCAACTCTCACAAGTCTTAATAGAATTGACATGATCTGATGAAGATAAACAAATTGTTTAAAAATAAAAACATGCACATAAAAATGCAGTAGACAAAAATGGATGAAATCATTAGTATGTAAAATCTGTCCGCTGATACAGGGGTGAGCACCGGGTGAATCAAGTGGCTTTGCCTACATCCTCACAGATATCTATTGTAATGGCTCTAATCATTCCTTCAACTGGTATTTGAGTTATCAAAGTACATATTTTACAATCAATTGCAGCATATAGAGCATATAGAATGTAAACCAAATAAGTCTAAGCTGTGTTTGATTTATCAAAGATTATCTTCAAGAAAAATGGTGGCCATTTTGAAATTCGGCATTCTAGAAAAGATCTTGAGCATATAACACAAAAAATATCACATAAAATTTGAACCAAATCTGTCAACTGGTATTCGAGTAATCAAAATAATATATATGGGCATGTTGTGATACAAAATTCAATTTCCCGGACGGGGAATGTGACTTAGAATTTTGATAATAGAATTGACATGATCTGATGAAGATAAACAAATTGTTTAAAAATAAAAACATGCACATAAAAATGCAGTAGACAAAAATGGATGAAATCATTAGTATGTAAAATCTGTCCGCTGATACAGGGGTGAGCACCGGGTGAATCAAGTGGCTTTGCCTACATCCTCACAGATATCTATTGTAATGGCTCTAATCATTCCTTCAACTGGTATTTGAGTTATCAAAGTACATATTTTACAATCAATTGCAGCATATAGAGCATATAGAATGTAAACCAAATAAGTCTAAGCTGTGTTTGATTTATCAAAGATTATCTTCAAGAAAAATGGTGGCCATTTTGAAATTCGGCATTCTAGAAAAGATCTTGAGCATATAACACAAAAAATATCACATAAAATTTGAACCAAATCTGTCAACTGGTATTCGAGTAATCAAAGGTTACATTTTCTCGAAAAATGACGACCATTTTGAATTGACTGAGCGTATTGAAATATCGTCCGGACAAACGAACGAACAATTGAACGAACAGACGGACGGACGATTTCTCTATATCCCTACGAACTTCGTTCAAATTCAATGTTTTATTTCGATTATCAACCAGAAAGTCCTTCACTGAAAGTTCAAGGTCAAGAGAAGGTCGCAACCAAGGTAACTTCTTGTTTTTTTCAAACAAACTTCCAAGTTTTGTCCCATATATGGGCACCCTGTGCACAGAATCTAGTTATAAACTAACGAAGCTCTCATTTAAGAAGTGAAGTTGAACGAATGCAAAGGATAATATATGGGCATGTTGTGATACAAAATTCAAATTCAAACAGCCGCCATTTTGTTCACTTCAACATTTGAATCGTGAATTTTGGTCTTATCTCCTTACGAAAAATTCCAAAAATCACGAGAAATGATCGAGATATTGGTTCGAATCTTTTCAACTGTTTATTCTGAAGTAATAGTCGTTTATAATTTCAGAAAATAACGACGTTTCGACGTTTCCATTGTTGGAAAATATCGAGTTTCGATTCTGGGAGCCAATCCTCTTTGCTGCCTCCTTGACAAACTTCCTTATTTCCCATCTATTACATCTAGGGCACATAAAGGACCACGTGCAGTATGGCAAGTGATTTTAGACGGTCATATCTTTCACCATGAGTACTTTCTGGGCATAAATACAGTGGTTTTTATCAAAACAATATGTTGTCTTTCAAATGAAGTACCCATGATGATAAAAATATAAATCAAACAATTCGAAAAATTATGAATAGGGACCCCATGTCAACATTTTTTTCAAAATATTGAACCTATTTAGTATTTACTCAAAAGAGGATCTTCTTTTTCTGATTTTTATTGCATGAAAACATTATTCAAGAAGGGGTCTAAGACATGTTCAAAAATAAAATGGTATTGAAAGTCTAGTTTTGAAGATATCAATTTTCGATGACCAAAACTATGCTGAAAACAATGGATAGCACGAGTATTCCCTATGGAACTTTAACTCATTTCAATGCCCACCCACTTTTCAGAAATTGTTAATATAGACTTTCGGTATGTTCACCCTTGGTATACGCAGCTAACAAAAATTGACCGGTACGGGTCAAAAGCTGGACCGGTACGGGTTAACGGTTTTATTTGAATTTAAAACAGCAATAACTTGCTCAATATTGACTTCCTCGTGTCTAATTTGAAATATATGATGCCTCCCGATGCTTTTAAGTACCCCAATTTTTTACAGATTTTTAAACAGACCAAAACTCTCTAAATGCGCATTTATGCTCTTTTCTCTCGAGAACGACTGTCTCATTTTCACGATAACTTTTATTTAGTACTTCTAACATATAAGATCTATTTTTCCCAATCAAGGTATGATGTAAATGACATGCTAGTTACATCTTGTGAGTTTGAATGACGCGCGTTTGATTTTATAAAAAACGCCAAACTTTGTGACAAAGAATTTCATCCTGCTTTCATTGAGAAGACGGACCGGTTCGGGGCAATCTGCTTGTAGCGAGAAGACGGACCGGTTCGGGGCAATAGCTGATGAAATTCTTTGTCACAAAGTTTGGCATCTTTTATAAAATCAAACGCGCGTCATTGAAACTCACAAGATGTAAATAGCATGTCATTTACATCATACCTTGATGGGGAAAAATAGATCTTATATGTTAGAAGTACTAAATAAGAGTTATAGTGAAAATGAGACAGTCGTTCTCGAGAGAAAAGAGCATAAATGCGCATTTAGAGAGTTTTGGTCCGTTTAAAAATCTGTAAAAAATTGGGGTACTTAAAAGCATCGGGAGGCATCATATATTTCAAATTAGACACGAGGAAGTCAATATTGAGCAAGTTATGGCTATTTTAAATTCAAATAAAACCGTTAACCCGTACCGGTCCAGCTTTTGACCCATACCGGTCAATTTTCGTTAGCTGCGTATACCAAGGGTGATGTTTAAATTGAGAAAAACAAGATCCTATTTTTAGAAAATAAGCCTAACAGTTTTCATAAAGTGCTAGGGTGGGGGCCTCATCCATAATTTTTCAGAGAGTTGGATTGATATTTTACTATCAATAGGGACTTCACTTGAAAGAAAACATATTGTTTTAATAAAAGCCAGAAAGTACTCATGGTGAAAGATATGACTGTCTAAAATCACTTGCCATACTGCACGTGTTTTTTTCGAGATACGACACTTAGTTTTTTTATTTAAAGATACATAGTGTTGATGGACTAAAGAATTATGCCCAGTAATGGCATTTTTAAGGTATTTGTGTTGCACTTGGTTCGGTACATTATGAGCAAAATATTAGACAAATCAATCATAAAATTGAAAATTGTATTTTTTGATGAGCAATAATAAGAACCTATGATTTTTATTTTCTTAAAATCAACTTATAAATATTAAACTTTCCACTGAATAAAAATCATATCATTGAATTTTGGAGATCATACATGCTCTTAATCCCCTACTCTCCTATCAAACAATTTTCTAGCTAGAATCCTAGTACAAAACGAAGTCAGTGAAGCTTTTCTGTTTGATTTGTTTGAAGCATAATCTTGATAACTATATCATGCTCATATAGATTTATACATGAGCATTCAATATGAAAGCCCATAATTATCTGATGAATATGACAAGAATATTCAATGTTTGATTCCATGTGCATGCTCTTGGTAAGACTTTTAACTTACTTTAATAATAGATTCTCACGAATTTTTTCGAGATAATTCCATCCACAAAATTGACGGGTGGAAAAATGTTGATTATATTCACTTGGACTTGGATTTATTTACCTAGAAAAAACTCGTGCTCTACTTGAGAATATGTTAACGTAATTAGAAAGTTAAAAGTCTTGCCAAGACCATGCACATGAAATTAAACATGAAATACTTCATCATATTCCTCATGCAGTCCATACTATGTAACTTGCGCATGAGGTAGTTGTAATATCGATTTATTCATTATAAAGATGGCGTCTGTATAGTTGTTATGTGTTGGATTTTTCTACTCGACGATGGATTCGCGCATTTTTCACTTCGAAAACAAGAGCATCTGATTGAAAATTCAAAGGAATAAACCCTAAAATTGGTAAGTGAGTTTATTATGTTATTCGTGTTATTTCAGAGTTTTGGTGCTGTTAATCCTATACTTTGAGACGAAAATGCAAATAACTTTACATGACTTTAAGAACATGTGAATGAGGGACGATGCCTTTTGATAACAAATAGTCTATACTTTCTACATACTAGTAGTAGTAATACAAAATTGCAACCGGTCAGAATCCGAAATCCCAATCATTTACAACAAACATCACATCCCCTATCTTCACAGGGTGTGTGCCAAATTGAGCGTGACACAATTGAATGCGC